TCAGCAGATCCATCGCCTGCTCCCACCTGACTCAAGATACATGAGGAATGGAAGCTTATTTGTGGTTGTTTGCATGCAGCATTATTTTTGCTATGTACCATTCTTTCAGTGGTAGTACTCAAATGTAAGAAAAACAAAGGAGGGTGGAGGGGGATGTGGCATTTCAACACTATTATTAGGAAATTTGCCACATATGTGATAAATACTCATCATGTTTGACATACGCTTCTTGTGCCAAAGACTTCTCATGGAATAGATGTGGAAAAGGAAAAAATATGCCTCTTTGAGTGTCATAAATATCTTGAGAAGGAGCATATACCAGACAGAGGGGAAGGAGAAGGTTCAAAAGTAGCATCTCTGTATCCTGTGTAGCAACCAGCACCATAGATTTTATGCTTAAAAGTTCCAACACACCCGCAAGATAAATTTCATCTAAGCCTGAAGACTTGAGCTTTGAACTGGCACTGGCCTCCTGCCTTCACACCTACACTGGGCCCTGATTCTTTTCCTTTTTGTCTACTTTTCCCCATAGCAAGATCCTTCTCTCTAGTAGATAAGTCAGAATTCAAACAGCAATTGAGTTGTTCTGCTTTCTCTCTCATCTGTTAAAATTTCCCCCAAGCAGTCCTTTCCATGTTCATCTTTTTTTCCCTCCAATGGAAATAAAAAGCCCTTTTTAGTTGTCTTCAGTATATTTCTCAAAGTGTCTACTCTTCTGGGTTGTGGATGGAGTGAAGCAGCAAAGAGCACAGGCTCGAGAGCTAGACTGAGATGGGTTTGCATCCCAGATCTGCCCCATAGTCTTGATTAGGGTGGGCCCTAAAACCAAATGATAAATGTGCTTACAGGAGAATGGGAGAAAACACACAGCTGAAAAGGCCATATGAAGATGGAGGCATAGATTAAAGTGATGCAACTACAAGCAAAGAAATACCAAGAATTTCTAGCAACTGCCAGAAACTAGAAGAGAAGAATAAAACCGTTTCTTCCTCAGAGCATCCAGAAGGAATGGACCCTGCCGAAACTTTGATTTTTGATATCTGACCTCCAGAACTGTGAAAAAACAAATTGCTATTGTTTAAGCCACCCAATGTGTGGCCTTTTTCTTTCTTTCTTTTTTCTTTTTCTTTTTAGTTCTGGCAACCCTAGGAAACTAAAACAGCAGTCAAAGTGGTACTTTAAAACATGTAAATCAATATCATGTCATTTTCCTATGGAAACCCTCCAGTGACATCTTATTATGTTCAAGTAGAATTCAAATCCTTTACTTGGGCTCATCAGGCCCTATACACCCAGTCTTGCCTTTCCACCTTACTCACAGCATCCTTGCTCCCCAGCTCAGTTCACCCCAGCCACACCTGCAATCTTTCTGTTCTCCAAACACATTGCACTGTGCTTGCCTGCACCAGGACTGCTTCCTCCACCAGGACATGTTTCCCCCAGATGTTCCTAGGGCTGGCTCCTTCCCACCTTCAGGACTCCAGTGTCCCCTTCTCAGAGAGGCCTCTCTGATCATGAATTCTAAAATAGTCCTCCCCAAACACACTCTATCCCAGGCCCTGTCCTCTTTTATCACAGCACTTATACTTGTTTACCTTATCGGCTTATGAGTATTGTCTGTTTGCCAGGAGAGCAGATTCTTGTCTGCTTGTTCACTGATGAATATCCAGCACCAAGAAAAGTGCTAGGCACACAGTAGGTGCCCAATAAATAGTTAATGAATAAAAATATTTTGTTGAACTAATCTAACTTCAGAACCCAAGAAATCCACCAGATCCAGAGGGGGAAAGGATTCAAGATTCTTTAGTCTACAACTTAGTTCTAAGCCTTTGTTCAGGTGATACCTGGGTCGAAGCCCAAAGCTCGATCAACCTCTGGAGAAAAGCTGCCCCCCAAAACCACCTGTCAACATCCCTTTGCTGCAGCAATCACAAAGATCAGTCAATTTATCCCAGAACCAAAGAGGGGTTCATGTCTCATAGCACCCCAAATTCTATCCACATCTGCCCTCTTCTCCTCTGCTGCCCTCCGGCCATCCCTGCCCTAGCTATGTCACTCCTTTACTGGTCCACACATTATCCCCAGGTTTGTGTCCATAACTGAGTTCAGTGGATATTCCTTGGGCCAGCAGCCATTTGTCACTTCCTCCTAAAGCCACTCAGTAGCTCTCTGCTTGCCTTATGGACAGAGCCCTGGAGCAGCTAACAATGCTCTCCCCAGCTTGGGGCTGCCCAAGAAACCGCAGAAGCACCAGGAGCTTCAAGCTCATAGCCCCAGGCATGGGGCTTAATGGATTCCATTAAGCAGCTGGGTCAGAGGCTGCAGGAAGCTGATGAGAGAAACTAAAGACAGGGGTCTTATCTAAACAAAGTCCTTGGCACACAGGGAGCCTGCTGGGCATCAGTGCCAAGGCTTGGAAAGTCTTCTCCAAGGAGCAGGGCTGCCAATGGCTCTGCAGCTGTGTGCCTGCCACAGCAGATGGACTGAGTGAGCAGTGCCTGTTCTGGCTATAAGCAAAACCCTCACATCCAAACCTCATCCTATTTAAACTTCTTTCCCACCCCTGAGCCCCAGAATACTGCACCTGTCTTCTTTGAATCCCCTAACACCCAAGCATTCATGATGGCTTCCATCCCTCCTGGCTCCATGAGTCAGCTCAGTGTCCAGGCTCGCTGATCCCCCTACAGCCTGCAAATGACACTCAACAGGGAAGCCTCTAAAAATATTTATACCAGATCCCCACTCCCCATCACAAAAATTCTGAACCAGTGGGGCCAGCAAGCTTTAAAAAAAAAAAAACTCTTTATGTTTTTGTTGTTTTTTTTGTTTTTGGGTTTTTTAAGTGCAGTCACTGCCTTAGAACTTAGCTCAAACTTCATGTACACACTCCAACTAATTTGAACTCTAGGAACTTCCCAGTTCTTCAGATCTTTTCCACATAGCTCCAGGGCTCCTCCTTGACCACCTAAGATGAATCAACCAAGAAGCAGGAAGCAAATCATACACACCTCCAGAGTAGGTCTAATTCAAGAGCTCCCTCGCCCTTGCTCCCCAGGAACTCAAGTATAAGAAGTAGTTTTCTCCTTGGTCCCCAAGAAGCCCATCACAGCAGCTGCCACTGATTTGGCCAGTTTCACTTGATGCTGAGTAGATATAGCCCTTCTGGTTTTAACAAAACTTTGAAACTAGTCACTTCCGAAGTTTACTGAAGCTAGTTTAAGGCTTATCCTCCATAGTGAGTGCTATATTCCAGCTGGGTCTCCTGCTGCCAGGGGTTCTTCCCTTGGCCTGGCTGCAAAGCTGGGCAGTCATGTCAGACTCCACCCAGAGTCTAGCAGAATTCTCAGCCCAAAGAAGCTTAAGTAAGATCCCAAGTCGAATTATTGACACCCGTGTGTGGGACTGCCCCCAGAAGCATGGAGAATCCAAGACCCAGAGCAGGTATGAGGAGTTAGAAAGTGCCTTGGAGAATACTCTGAAAGCTACCTGCAGCCCCCTTAGAACACCCAGGGCTCCTGGAGCCACTGTGGTCTCCTGAGGGCCAGAGCTGCCTGTGAAAAGAGCCTCACCCTGCTCAATCACAAGAATTACCAGAGGCACATGCTAAAATCTACAACTGAAGCGGAATCCCTGGAGAGTAAGGGCCATGTTATAAACCTAGTGGATAAATCTCAGAGTTAGGCTATTTGAGGGAGCAGGATGGTTTAGTCTTGGCTCTAATCTGTCCCCCAATTCAAGAATCCCACCTAGTCTCTACAGCTTCCTAAGTGGTAGTGTCTGCCTGGAACGAGAGATCATGTTTTGCTGAGCTCAGGCAAGCCAGCCTCCTAAAGGGCTAAATGACTAGGGCAATAATTAGCAGAGTTTTAAAATAATTTAAAGACCATCACATTAAAAATGAGGATAGCAGGTGAATGAACAGTATAGAACCTGTTGTGAAATTCAGATTCCCAGGCCACAAGCCAGATAGTCTGAAACAGAATCCCTGAAAACAGGGCCCAAGAACCTGCCTTTTGAGGAAGCTTCTCTCCCAGGGACTCCTTTGCTCGCTGACATTTGACAACTCCCAGTTGGTGTCTAATGGATGGGCCATCAAGATACTCCCATAAAACTGGAGCCCTATGTCTAGCAGATTCTCCATATCAAGCCCACTTGCAAAGACCATCATTTCTGATTTTTATTCCAAGTCAGAACTCTTGAGAAAAGCTCCTCCAAAGCTTGCTGGAGGAACCTCAGATCAGGCTGCTGCCTGCCTTTGTGATCTCCTTGGGGAAGCCCATACTTCCCTGGAGTGAAGTCCAGGACTAGAATGAAGGTGCTGCACTGTCAAGAGTGAGCCCCTGTTCCAGGAAGAGTCAGTCCTATAACTCCTGTACTACTGGACCGCTCCTTCCCCTTCTGTAAAATGAACTGAGTCCTATCCAAACACCCTCTACTTAGTTCTCCTGGAGAATGTTCTTAATGAAAATCACTACTGAAAACAACCTCTTCTATCCTGACAAAGAATGTGGGTTCCAACAGGTCCCCACTCCCCACAGTGCAGACAAGTCTCGCTACAAACTACAACTGAGCATGTCACTTTCCTGCCTAGAACCTGTAATCATTTATTCATTGTTCTTAAAATACAATTCAAAACACTTAGCCAATCAGAACCGCGGCTCTGGTGCCCCCACTCATCTCACTGGCTTACCTTCTCCCACCCCCTGCTTTCATCATTCTACTTCACCCAGCATCCTTCTACCAGTTCTTGAAAGGGCTGGGCTGTTTCTCTCTTGGGGTCTTTGCACATTCTATTCTGGACCTGGAATGCCCTTTCCCTAGCTAATTCTAACTCAATCTTAGAATTCAGCTTAACTATCACTTTCCTGACCACTTTCCCTCCCCAAAACTAGCTCAGGCCTCATTAGCCTCCCTCATTGGTCCCTCGGTAGCATTTATCAAATGTGTAGTGAACTCATTATCTGCATAATTATGTACTCATTATCTGTTTCCCCCAACAGGCTACGAACACCACAAGGAAAATGACCATGCCTGACTCATTCACTATTATATCCCTATGGGGCCTGGCACATAATAAGTGTTCAGTAAGTATTTGTTGAACAAATGAGCAAACAAAATAATACCAATTAATTAATGAAAAGTTCTAAGACCCTATTTCCCAACTTGAGTACTTTCAGGAACTGGTGGGTACCTAAACCTCTAGACCAATGTATATTGATGTATACTGATTTAAGCAAAATTCTTGATCTGCCTTTGAACAGTCTACAAGTTCAAAAGGGCAACATTTGCCAAATGTATGTGATTTTTTGCATGACAAAGGGATTCTTCACTTTACAAAAAAAGAAAAAATCCCCCTGAAAGGCGTCTTTAAATAGTGCGTTCCCTCTGGTGCCCATAAGCCGTATTAAAGAGCTCATTAATTATCTGCCAGGGAGGCTAGAACTAAGAGGCAAGTAGTAAGGATGGTTGCCAAGGGAAGAAATGATGATAAATCAGCACTTAAAGGAAAGTGTAAATCATGGGGGAAGTAGGACCCAATTTACAGAAGTGTGATTTGTACACAGCTTATCAGGAACTTTATTATAACGAAGCACACTTGGAGGAGGTAGAAATACTCTTGACTTGGAACAAGATTTCTGCCTTTGAAAAGCATCTTTTCCACTCAGTCTCTGCACAGCTTTCAAATGAGTCTTTGAGCTGTTGATTCAAAGTGAAGTCCTGCCCCACCTCTGCAGCTCACTCCCATCCCATCAAACTCTCCAGCCCACTCAGGGCTACAGATGTCCTTCCCTGGCATGAGTGCAACAGATTTTATAAAGGTCCAGTCCATTGTAAGTAAGACAGGTGGCTAGTAACTTGGAATAGAAGCTGGTGCTCCCCAGGCATGTTGCTGGCAATGTGTGGAGGTGCTCCACCAGGAAAGAATAACATTTATTGAGTGGTTAGTGGGTATCAGCACTTGTGTTCATGTTTCGATATATCCTTTATCAAAAACTGTAGAAATAAACTACTCAAATGAGAACAAGCAAAGTTGATTTATTCAGAGCTTGCTATAGCAAGGAAAGCAGCCACCATTACTTGGATGTGGCAGAGACTTCAAAGCAGGCAAGGAAGAAGGAGAGCTTCACAGGAGAAGAGAGAAGGCTGATTGGCAAGTATGCCCTGATTGGCAGCTGTTGAAAAGTGGAAGTGTAGGTGGGCTAATTGGAAGCAGACATGCTATGTAGTTGGTTAGGAAAGCAAATCTGACTTTTTCTGGTTGGTCTTAAGTTGGAAATGGGTAAAATTAGGGAAGCTGCAGTCATTGATCAAGTCCTGGGTGTTTTAGGCCAATTGCTGCAAAAGTTGGGGGTAAAAGTTCATTTTTATATATGGTCTGGTCATGGGCATTGTCTGTATATTCAGTCTCTCACTAGAATGGCTGTACCTCTTTAAATTGCATGATCCCCTCAGGGCTTTCTGCAAGATAGAACATTGGTTCTCTCCTGGGCAACAGCCAGACCTATGTTTCTATCCTTGGAACATTTCAGGTGCTTTTAGGAGTCAGCTGACTCTGCCTCTTCCTCCCATTTGCTCCCTCTTTTCTTAGCCTGGGGTCTGCAGTCATCAGGGTTGCTGTATAACAAAACAATCCCTTACTATGTTTCATTCTTCCCCCTCCTCTATATTCTCATGGCCCTTGGCTTTTCCCTTTAAGCAAAGCTTATTGTTCTTAGGTACAGATGTATTCATCTCCCTCTCTCAACTCTGACTCCTCCAGAGCCTTGAAGACAGGGCTGTGTGTGTCTGGATCATCTTTATGGCCCCAGAGCCCAGCACAGTCTCTGACCTACAGAAACTGTGTGACAAATGTCACATGAATGGTTGAATGAATGCAATGCTTTTACTGCCAGCCCTTATGACAACAAAAGGAGAAAGAAAGAAAAATAATGAAAATAAGTATGAGGCAATGACAAAAACTCAAGAAATTTTAAGAATATTCTACAATAGTGTCTCTGGTCTTTATGAAATATAAATGGGCCCAAGATTGGGTCTTCCCTTTCCTTGTCACTTCTCTGCTTCTTATTATTAAATGGCTCCAGATAAGATTTCTTCTCTTCTTCCCTTCATAATTTCCCCATATTTGGAGTCTTTTTCATGCATCTTCATATATTCCTATTGCAATATAAGAGATGTTGCAAGATCTCAAAATGCATCAATAATGCGATTTTGCAGTGGGTGGCAGTGGGAAAGAAAGAGTATTTTGAATAACCATGGCAGAGTTGGCAATGAATAAGTTCCTCAGACACACTAGTCAAGGGGAATTGCATGTTCCCTGTATGATGTATAATGACAACTCAAATGACAATTCAAACATAATCACTGGGTGATAGAAAAGGCAGTGTGTGTGTATTAGGGTACAGCTACCCCAAGACTTTTGTTTGTGACACTGTGAGAAACTGCAAGCAAAATTCTATTTAACTATGTCACAGAGCCCATGTCTTTATAGCTGAGATTATCTAATTCAGTCAGGTACGAGTCCCCATCTTGGTCTATCTCAGCCAAATAATTAAAGGAAAATCAAAGCTTTGAGCCTATAAATTGTCAACACTCCAATGTTTAGCCATTTGTAAATACAGCAACAGCCAGCACCTCTCCCATAACAAAATGCCATTTTTCCCACTCCCCTAACCCAGTCTGTTAACTGCAGTTCTGCATGTCAACTGTGCAATGATAATCACGACCCTGAGGCCCTACAAGATTGGGAAATGCCTTCTGAAGCATCAAACAGAGATTAAATTGTCTTGCCTGTAGTTGCAGTGTTAATTTAAATTACAATTCTTTGAAAACTGGTGTTGTATTACCGGTCCTCAAAGGACATGAAATTTTATCTAAGGGTGACCCTTTATGTACCAGAATGTACAATTAACATGAACATTCTTTTGCTGGGTCTTCCTAGATGCACAAGACTCTTTTTTTTTTTAACACATTGAATATAAAAACCACCATTTACTTTGGAATGGAACATTACAGTTTTCAAGCTTTTCCACATATTTTCTCATCTGATACTAATAACTCTTCAGAAATGAAGATGAGGTAGAATGTCAAGGATAGTATCAGTGCACCACTCAATTTCCTCTTACACCCCAGACTTTGTGCTTCCTTTTCCAACTTGCAGCTCTATTTCAGAGAGCACCCCCCAGGTTATTAGAGACAACTTTGCCCAACTGGGTGGAGAGCTAAAAGTGTCTGGGAATTCACATTCCCTCATCCCACACCCAGTCCTAACCAGTGACAGAAATGCACAAGCATGAAACACCTAGCCCCCTTGCCCCAGATAGGGGCAAGCATGAGACATAACCCCACTCTAGAGTTCTCCCCTGGAACTGGCCTCTGTAGGACTTTGCCTGGGATCAAAGCCTTGCTCTGTTCCCTCTTCTTTTACTGCACTCACCCGCCCCAGCATTTTCTTAATAAGTTAGTTAAACTTAAGGCTACGTGTCAGCACTACTCTTGAAAAGTACAACCTAAGACTCAGGGGTAATTATCAACCTTTTGAAAATGGAAAAATGGACTCAGAGGAAGTTAAGTGACCTGTCCAAGATAACATAAGCTGAGCGATTAGATTCCCATTCTACCACTATGGTCAGAATGGGAAATAGAGAGATGAATACATTCAAATGCACAGTCTGGTGAGAGAAGAGCAAGACTTAACATGGTGTTTTTAGCTGACAGCACTTTCCAGCTGAAAGGATCTTGGAATAAAAGGGCATTCATTATGTGTTTTCAGGTAGATTCTGTCATGACTCCACTTGAAGGCAATCAGAAAGAGTGAGCACTTTACTGAGCACAACACTCAAGTTACCTCAAGTCTAACCAGTTGTTCTCCCTGCCCATTATGGGTTGTTCATCCAAGCAACTGCTGGGGAGAGAGATGGATGGAGAGGGGATAGGGCAGGAATGGAATTTGATAGGGTTCACATTGGAGAACTGGAGAGGAAGGAAATGGCTGGGCCCCAAAAGAATCTCACATGACAGAGGCAGCATCCTGCACCTGGTTACCATCACTTCTGATGTACCCCAGGACGACTGCCCTCAACCCCTCAAATGCCAGTTTCCCTAGAGAAAATCTGTGCCCACTCCCCTTTGTCACTCACAACAAAGCCCAGCAGTGACTCTGGGACATCACCAGGACCTTGTGGGCCAGCAGTCAGCAACTCTTAATTTCTGAGCATGGCTCAATACAGCTGAGAGGTGAAGTTCACCTCAATTCACAGAGAGGTGAAGTTATTCAATCAAGTTCATATAACCCAGTAAGAAGCAAAGCCAAGATGTGAACCCAGGAATGCCTGACTCCAAAGCTCACACTTGAATAACAAGTAAAAGGAAAGAAGAACAGTGTTCTCATGAATACTCGGTTTCTCCCAGCAGAATAAACTATATTGATAAGTTAGGCTGAGCAAATGCCTAAACATAAAGGGAAATGAAATTCTCACTCAAAAATGAAAAAGCAGAATTAAATCTTATATCACAAAGAAATAGCCTGGAAAGAAAAAGGAAAGCCTAAAAATGAGATGAAGCATAAAACAACATAAATGTTCTAATACTCTAAAGATGTGATATTTTCTGGGAGGAAAAGCTAATGACAGAAGATGCTAGAAGTCATTAATGTGTGCCTACCTTTATCTTCATGGCAACTTCAACGTAATCCCCCTGTATCTTGCTCTAAGAACTAGACATTGACAAGATAAAAAAAAAAAAAATAGAGTTAAATATTATTTTCCTAGTATGCACCAAAACATGATTTGGATCAGGCCTTTACTAAAAACTAGAGTAGCAAAATGAGATAAATGGGTATTTTCTACCTATATACAAACAAGAGGAAATAGAAGGACATTGCCATTTACAAAGCCAGTCTAAACTTATGGAGCAGACATCTTTGATTACTTGAATTTGAGGTTCAACCTCAGAGGAATGCATGGTAAAGAGGAGCAGGCAGTCCTGGAAAGTGACACCACAAAGTGGTGACTGAAGCTAAGGAATATTTCTTTCCATGTGAGACCAGACTCAGGATCCATTTATTCATTTTGCAAGCACAGAAGACGGGCTGTCTCTTGGAAGAATGTCTTGTAGGGAATCAAAAGGTGTCCCTTCTTCCACCTCGCTACGCACTAGAAGTCTTTGTCCTCAGATCCAGGCAGGGAAATCTGAAATTCTTACTTGGCTTCCCTCTTGGGGCTTGAAGGGCTATTAAAAAGGCAAAGAGAGCCTGGGAAGTATGGCCCCATTAACATGAAGTAGGACCATTGAAATCATCCCTGTGCACACATATCATTGTTAGTGTGACCTTGGGCATTTCCTGGCCTATAAAAAAAATGTGGTGATGGTCAAACTGTCTCCTCCAGGTTTTTTGTGAGAACTCCAAGACTACATGGATGCACCTGGCACATACTTGATACTGGATAGCACTAAGTTCTCTCTTCTATAATGGAGAAGAAAAGTGAAATACAAAGAGAAACAAGTTTAAGAGAGATAAGAGAGTGGAGGAGGAGAGAGGGAAGACTAAGGCTAAAATGGAGTCACCAGGAAGCATCCTAAGTGAATGCACCCAAAGGCTGGAATTTGGGGCCCAGAAAAATGGGGTCCATATAGGACAAGTATCTTGAGACTTCAATCCAACATAGACATGTCTACAAGGGAGACACTTTTCCTAGGGAATGTGTAGATGAAGTCAAGCTCCAGTGAGAAGCTGTGAATTATCTATACTCTCCAGAGGCCAGAGCATGAAGAAATGCTTATAGCACAAGGAAGTAGCAACTAAAGCCTTCCTATCCGTATTATCACTAGATCTTTTACTTCCACTAAATTGGAATTTTTTGGAGGGCTTTAAACCACAGATTACTAAGCCTCAACCCAGCCTTTCTGATTCACTAGGTCTGGGGTGGAGGCCAAGAATTTTCTTTTCTAACAAATTCCCAGATGATACTAATGCTGCTGGGCTGGGAACCACACTTTGAGAACCACTGCCCTTTATTTAATAACTATACCTTTATTTAATAACTTTATGAAAGAATCTCAGCCTAAAGCTAACTGTGACCTTAAACAACTCATTCTCTTCTTGGCACACTTGCACTTCAGTTGGGGCATTATGCTAGCTGACCCCTACGAGCCCTTCCAGCTCTGATGTTCTGTAATTCTGGGTTACATGCATTTACTGCCTAGCTCTGGCTTGGGAATGGGAGGAGACAAGGCATGCAAGAGTGACTGAGTCACAAGGAGAATCTCTAAAAAAAAGAAAGAGCAAATATTGCATTTTTTTTCCTACTGCTCTAATTTTCTTTCACACTCTAAAGTATTCTCCTGTCTTCAACTAAACTTACCCTGGGATCCTGAGTTCGGCAGATATTTACTCTAAAGAATGAGCTGTTTGGCCAGGTAGTTTCCCAAAAACATCTTCCCCCTGTCAGGATTCTAAGCCCCTCAGGCTGTGCTTCTGTGACTCAACAGTGACATCTGGTGGCCATCAAGGTGAGTCCCAAGCCCTGATAACACCCGCTGGTGCTTCTGAAGACTACCGCACATTAAGGGGTACCTAAGTTGCCATAAATAAGCCTGTTTATCAGTCACCTATGGCATACCCCTACTGTCTGTGAGCACATTATTCTCTTAGTTGAATGCCAAAAACATTAAATCCTCTGACTTCCATTTTAAATTTCTAGTCATTGACCCATTAGAAAGGATACAATCCTTAGGAGGCTGACAGCCCCACTGTGCCTGATGTATCTTAACTAATATTCATATTTACACTATTTAGTTAAAGGAACGCATCAAAGCATTTTTCAGGGAAAAAAATACAGCCTAACTTTGCTTCCAACGATTTGATCTAAGCAAATAAATAAGTTATTTTCATTTCCAGTTTAACATAACAAGAATATTTTTACATGATAATTTGCTTTTAAAAATTCTAGCTGTGAAGTTTAATAACAGCACATGAAGCTGCCTGTCATTTCATATTTATGTTCCAATCCCAGTTTTGACAGTTCCCATGGGCTCTAGATTTCTTGGCTAGAGATATTCTAGGCCATGTTTTCATAACAGGTAGAAAACTCAGCCCTAGATCCAGGAAAGAATAAAGAACCTTTAATAGTGTTTTGGACATTGGACTGGATCACTTTTACCTCCTCCTTGCTACAAGGGATGTTTACAACTCAGAGAAATGGTCAAGCCCTCCCTTCCAGTCTCCTTAATATATGGTCCTACAAAGCCACCGGTTTCAGGAAAGCCACTTCTCTCACAAGGATTAGCCAATGGCAATAGCAGCTAGTATTGATTGAGTGCTTATCCCATGCTGGGCACTGTGCCCAGAGCATTACATGCAGCTGGCTAAATCTCCAAGGTACCCACAGGAAGGCAGAGCTATGTGTATCCCATCTCACAGATAAGGAAACTGGGGCCTAGCAGGTGAGGACCTTTGGACAAGTTTTCACAGCTAGCATGGGTTGGGCCTGGAGTCTGAACCCAGACATCTGATTCCAGACTAGGATCTTGCCTGGCTGGGGTGGGTCAAGGTAAACATGACTCCACCTAGTCAAACCCTTCAAAATTCAGCTTCAATCTTTTCTCCTCCCACCCCCTTTTCCCACCACTGCCACATCCACCATCCCAGCCCCTCCCAATGAGAGCAATGCCTCTGCCCATGAAATCTCACCTGCTTATCACCACCCCTTCCACAGGCTACTGTTGCTTTGAGTGACTGAGGCGAATGAACAAAAAGCATCTTAAAGGCAGGACCCTCATCTAATTTGTATCATTATTAATCCCACAAGCTGGTCCAGGACACTATAAGCAGTCAGCAGCCAGTACATGTTTGCAGAGTGAATAGACGAATAAACGGACCTTGAAAAATGCAAGTCTACACTGTAATAAGAGATCCGTGGGGCCAGGGAGGGAGTTAACCCCATTGGAGGGCAGGAGCAGTGAGGGTTCTGATGCCCAGAGGAGAGGACGAGGGGATACAGCACAGGAAGGACACCTAAGGAATTCATTAGGAAAGGAGCTTTATACCCAGGATGTCACCAAAAACCAGTGCACTCCCACCACTGAGTGATGGGAGTGCACTGTAGCATGGAGCCTGGGACTGTAGCATGGAGACAGAACCTCCTCAGATAGAACCTCCTCAGCCCTCCCCTTTTTTGCCTGTTATAGGCATGTAGGGGATACATAGAACCCTCACTCTCCTCTAGCACCACCCCCATTGCTTATCATGATCTGCTTGTCTGTTCCTCTCTATAGACTGTGAGCTCTCTGAAAGCACAGGCTGTTTATTTTGTTCTCTGCTAAATCCCGGGTATCCTTGACACCTAGAAGAGGCTCAGTAAGTATTTTTAAATCATTCAAGCCTTAATTTCAGCAGCAACTACAAAGCAGCGGTAAGGGGGAAGTTTGTGTCAGATCCACAGCAATAACCAGAGTTCTTCAGTCTTTTACTGAAAGGGTGATGTATGTATGCTCATATTTTGTAGATGCTAATTGTTGACAGCATGATGTGGTGGCTCAACAAATTGGAACTGACACCATCAACCTGCTCAATCCATTTACAATCTTTCATCATCAATGCAAGGGACTTTGTCAACTGAGCGGGGCCAGCTTCCCTTGCGAGGCCAGCATCTTGTTTTCTATTAGTGATGAGCATTACAAGTAAATAGATTGGCTTAGCGTGTTAAATTGCATCCAACAGCCTAGCAAAAATCACAAGCTAATGTAGGAAAATAAAATCTGTGAAGTAAGGAGAGAGCGGACTCAAGCCAACTCAAATTTACTAAGCAGAAGTTTTGCTAACTAGTTTCTCTACCACCAGACTTGCTGCATCCCACCCTCCACAAAGCACCCAAAGTGATCTTTCTAAAATGCCAATCAGCTCATATCACCTCTCTGTTTAAAATTCTTTAGTAGTTTTTCCATTCTCTCCTTATCATTTCATCCAGACCATCTGGGATATAGGCCTTGCCTACCTCTCTAGCTCAAAATGGCTCCCTTCTCCTCACTGTGCCACACATGTATGCACACATACACACACACATACACCCTACTCTCTCCACAGGAGTCTCATGGTATATATGAATGACTGTAGAGTCTCTTCCAACAGGACCTTTGCACATGCTGACCCCTCTTTCTGGAACAATTTTCTCTACCCTTTCACCTAAATAAGTCCTTCAGGATTTAGCTCAACTGTTTTACAAGGAGACTTCTCTAATGTAGTGGGTTGAATGGTAGCCCCCAAAAAGATATGCCTACATCCTAACACCCACCAAACCTGTAACTGTGACCTTACATGAAAAAAAGGTCTTGCAAATGTAATTAAGTTAAAGATCTTGAGATGAGATCATTCGAGTGGTCCCTAAATCCAATGACAAGTGCCCTTATAAGAGACACATAGAGGAGAGACACAAGGAGAAGGAGGAAAGAAGTCATAAGATTGGAGTGATATAGCCACAAACCAAGGAATACCAGATGCCACCAGAAGCTGGGAGAGGCAAGGAAGGATCTTCCCCTAGAATCTTTGGAGGGAGCATGGCCCTGCTGACACCTTGATTTCAGACTTCTGGCCTCCAGAACTGTGAAAGAATAAATTTCTGTTGTTTTAAGCCACCAAGTTTGTGGTAATGTGTTACAGCAGCCATGGGAGATTAATACACTTGACCTCACCTTCAGGAGCTCCCTGTTCTGTGCTACCCTAACCCTGTGCACACTTCTGTCTTTGCCTTGTTAGTGTGGTTTTGTGATTCATATTTGACTTTGTTGCCTTCCACAGTAGATCCTGAGCCCAGAAGATAGAGATTTTGTCTTCTGTGACCTTCTTCCAGATTCCAGCACCTCCTTGAATGGCTCACAGGGCTGTCAGCAAGTTAAGAGCAAAAATGACAAAGAGCCAAACTTGCTCATTAAAATTCCTAAATCTCCTACAAATGTCTTCTGATGTCAAGCCCATAAGGTCCCCTCACACCTCTGTGCCCAAAGCTTCTCTTAGTCCTCAGTTAATTCCTCTATTTCTTTGTTAACAATGCCATCACCACCCACTTAGCTGGCCACCTGAATCATGTAACTCCCTCTTTTGTCAAGGGGAGACGAGCCCTTAAAATTATTCATAAATAATTTCCATGGGTTTTAAGCCTACATTCACCGTTTCAGGCTTGAGTGCATCTATTGCCTGTGGGCCCACCTTCATTGAGTAGAATGGTAGACTCACTGTGGCATTTAAATTACTTTTCTCTTTTTGTAATTGTGCACCATTAGAAATGGGCATACACCATAACCTTCCATCAAGTGTTGAGTGAACAAATGCAAGAATGATAAATGTGTGTTCATTCTAAGCCTCTTGCCATACTCCATGAAGGAAACCTGAATAAATAAGGCTTAGTCCTTGACTTCAAGGGGTTTACAGTCTAGTTGAGTTTCATAATAATAACTCCTAACATTCACTGCCTCCCCACCATATCCTTTTTGTTTTCATTTTTTGTTTTGGATAAAACACAATTATCTCAACATGTGCCACTAATTTTTCAAAGGAAAATCTTCAAATGTTTCTGTTTTCTTTGTAAATATGAATCAATAATAAACCATAAGGTCCATTTACTTGTTTATAAGTGAGCCTGTAGTTGGAAATAATGGTAAATCAAAGAAACAATGGGACATTGCTGGTAGGAATGCAAAGTGGTACAGCCTACAGCCACTATGGAAAATGGTCTGGCAGTTCCTCAAAATATTAAACATAGAGTTAGCACATGACCTAGCAATTCCACTCCTACATATATACTGAAGAATTAGAAACAGGTGTTCAAACAAATACTTGTATACAAATATTCATAACAACATTATTTATAATAACCAAAAAGTCCATCAACAACACAAATGTCCATCAACTGATGAATGAATAAACAAGATGTGATCCATCCATACAATGGAATACTATCCAGCCATAAAAAGGAATGGAGTACTGATGCATGCTACAACATGGATGACACTTGAAAACACCATGCTAAGTGAACAAAGACAGCTGCACAGGCTAATGAATCTGGTTCTAGGTGTGCCTAGAAGCATGCAGGCCAAAAGATCCATATTTATTTTCAGGCCCAGAAAAAATGTGATTGGGCAGCAAGATCTATCTCATATAATCTCTTTCTACTGGACACAACTGAAATATCGAGATCATGGTTTCTCAACATGTGTTCCACAGAACACTAGTTCTGCCTGGTGCTAAGAAGAGAGTAGACCAAGAGGAGAAGGTTGCATGGTTAAGTAAATTTTATAAATGCTTAATAAAACAGGATTAAGATTTCTTTACTGAGGACTTCTCTGAGCCTCTACTAAACTCATACATACTGAGAATCTGCAAGAGGCTGCAAGAAGTGGTAACACTTACCAAACTTACCAGATCAGGAACCACGCTCTCTTAAGATGCAATGTAGTCTCACTGAACCTGTTTCAGTTTTTACAAATGTATATTCTCTCCTTTCTAGGGCTTTGCCTACTCTTTCCCCTCCCTCCTTATTTCCTTTGCCTTCCAGAAGTCTTCCCTGAACTCTCCAGACTGACTCAGCATCTCTTGCTTTATATTCCTTAGGCACGCCCTGTTCCACCATCATGGCAGCAACATACTTTATTTGTTAACATTTATTTCATCTTCTGCTTTTCTTGCTAATCCATGAGCTTGGTAATAAATGGTCATAGCTGTCTCACTTATTATGGCATCCCCAAGGTCTAGCATTCTGCTGGGCCCAGAGTGGCTGCTCAATAAAACAGTGGTTAAATGAATGAATGAGTTGCATTCTACCTCTTCGTAAAATCCTTTGTCCTCTGGATACCAGCAGGAGCTCTGTCTCTACTAGCAATGTCTATCACTGCTGACTCCGCCCACAGACTTCCCCAGGCCCCTCCTAAGAGGGTCTTCTCACCCACAGTCCTGCTGCCTCAGGGACTATATGCATACTGCAAGCCCCACCTCTATCTCTAGCCAAACTGGGCTGGAGAACCTGACCCAAAGGAAGTCGATCCTGAGGCTACGTAAAGATGAGCTGGACAAGTTAGATTCTTTCCCTCTATCAGGAACTGGAAATAAGAAACACAGAAGGAAGCTGCCAATTGGTAGTGGATACTGCACAAAGAACATTTGTTCAAAATGTTCCTTGAAATATACATCCGTACTGTTCAATATAGTAATCATTAGGTGTTTAAATGTAAATGTCACATTAGCCATATTTCAAGTACTCATTCAAGTAGTTATGGGTGGCTACCGGCTTACCACACTGGACAGTGCAGGTAAACATTTCCATCATGAATTTCTGCAGAAAGTTCTATAGAACAGCACTGTCCTGTTTCTTTACAGTAAACCCCACTTACCTTGAATAATATAAGTGCAATGTAAGAGTCTCTACTTCTTGTAACCAAAGGAATTCAACCAGAACAGCCATTATGTGCCTCAGCCCTTCATTCATTTAACATCAAATTTGTATTGACGTACAAAGTGCTAGTGACATGTGATCTTTTGAGAGCTATAGGGATGCCTTAATGAAGTCCTACCACTGGATGAAACTGAGCAAGGAGTCCCTGGCTAGAACCGTAGGCCAGCTCACCAAGTGATGGCCTTTGCACACTGTCCCCTGCTAACTGGGCTTTCAGCTGGGAAAGCTGGGGATCCTGGCATGCTGCTCTTAAGTTCCCCACATCCACTTGAGGCCTCCTTCCCCCTGACCTGCCCTGAACCTGTTTCTGTCTCTCCTGTGGCTGGCCCAGCTTTTGCTGTACTCCTATCCAGCTCCCAGTCCTGTCACTCTGTTCCCCTGGCCTTACTGGCACAGATGCTGCTTCAGTCTCCATCCTCCTCACCAGCCTTCTACACTCCTGGCTATGCCCACTAATCCTAATCAGAGATAACCTCCATGCTCCTTAGTGAACACCCTAGGACTCCCCCTAGTGGGCAGTTTGTCCAACTTCCTTTCCCATTCCTGGAAAAGGATTTTAAGCAAAAACAAGTCAAGATGAGCATCAGCCCAAGTTACATGCGACACCACCAATAGTTATGTGGGCCACCAACAATGGTTATTTGGGACACCAACAATAGTTACATGGGATGCTAACAACAGTCATGTGGGACACAGAACCACTATGTGCCAAGCAGAGTGTTGGACCCTGGGGACACCATGGGGCTAGGTGCTTGATCTCTTCCAATCTTCACAGCCATCCTGTAAGAATATTCCCCCTTTGTTATAGGTGAGGAAACAAGCTCAGAGGGATCAAATAACTGGTCCCAGATTGCACAGCTAGGAAGTGGCTGAGTTGAGATTTAAATCAAGATCTTTTATTCCAAGGCCAAAATTCTTTCCACTATACCCTAACTTCAATCCTCTCTCCTGGGATTTCTGTACTTCAGGGATTTGGTAGTCTCAAAAATTCCCCACACTTATGATATGTCCTTACTCCTGCCCTGTATAAAAACATGCAGATCTTTCTTTAACAAGGAAATTCCAGTGACAGATAATAGTTTAAAGCCTGATTCCACATGAAGAGATTCATATTTGAATTAAGCCAGGAGTCGGCAAAACATAGCTTGTGGGCCAAAGTTGGCCCACCACTTGTTTTTGTATGACCTACAAGCTGAGAATGGTATTTATATTTTTAAATGGGTGAAGAAAAATATCAAGGGAAAAATAATGTTTTGTGACTTTATATAATATTATATGAAATTCAAATTTCAGTGTCCATAAATAAAGTTTTACTGGAACACAATCATGTCCATTCGTTTACATGTCTATGGCTATTTCTGTGCTACAAGGCAGAGTAGAGTAATTTCAAGAGAGATTTTATGGCCTGTAAAGCCTAAAATACCTACTCTCTGGACTTTGGTAGAAAATATTTGCAGACTCCTAAATTAAGCTAATGCAGTCATGTTCTGATAGTGAAATTCTCAGGTACTAATCATGATGGAACCAGAAGAAGTAAGACTAAGATCACACATGTAATCTTGGAGTTGGTGGCAGTGATGGTATAATTCTCCCAGTCCCTAGGTTGGGGGCATAGTGAGGAAGGGCCCCAAGGAGTGCTTCTAGCAATGTTTATTGCATAGGTATAAGGAAGGTATTCTGACATCCTTCATGATGCAAACTTAATCTGCTTGTACCAGACCCAACTTCAAACCTATGCAACACTTCATAGGAAAACATATCAGGAAGATGAATGCGTGAACCAAGTACTGATATTAGTGATCAAGGAAAGTTATCCAACCAATTAGGCCAAGAAGCTTATGTCAGCTCTAAGGCCTTACCCAACACAGCATTATCTGCTCATGCATATATCATTTTTATCAGCCTCATAACTCTTTCACCTGGGCAGTATCCTTAGTCTTCTAAGCCCCATAACCACTGCAAAGGAAACAGTTATACTCTGACCCCAAAATAAGGATTATTTCTCTTATTCTACCTTAACTTCTTTCCAACAAGTATAAAACAGAAGCCAGCATCCAGCATCCATGCAGTCCCTTTCTCTCTTGCTCTCACTTCATGCTGGTCAGCAAACATCAAGAGAAGTGATCAGATCCCCCACTACAATTCATTACTCACACATGAAGGTGGCTATCTTTTTCCTTTTGTTCCTTGAAATATGAGAGAAATAGATAATAGACATGTTTCTTGTATTTCTTTTTTACCTTTTTTTTTGTGGCTCAGAGATAAATTTAATGCTTAAGTATTACAACTATCTTTAGCCTAGGATTTGGACATTACAATCTTCCTATCTCTAAAACATTACTCTTGATGTGTTAGTCTTACTTCAATAATCTTTTTATATATATAACTTTCAATATCATATACCTTAAATAATTTTTTGAAGTAAGAAGAATATAAGTAAAAAGATTATGTATGTATATACACATATTTATGAATATAATATATAATTATATATAATAAATAACACTATGCTTAATAAAAATAACCAATTACTGTGCACTTGCATGAGCCAATCCCTCTGCTAGGTGCTTTCCATATACCAGCTCATTTAATTCCTTCATAAACCTATTCCTTATTGTCCGTAAATGAGGATGATTCATTAACAGAGCCTAATTGCAAGTCTGAGTCAGAATTTCTAAGGTCAGGCCAAGACTTTAGGCAGAAATTGTTTGCAGAGTGCAGCAAGAGACAATAAGTCCAGGAGGACTTTTCAATTCACCAGGTTCTCAGAAGAAATACAGATGTCAGAGAAAGGTGAGAGGACAATAAGCTGGAGATACCATCGGTCAAGAACGACAGACAGGGAC